TGAAACCTAAGTTCCTTCCTGTTAGTAACAAGCAAAAAACAAACAAACAAAAAAAAAAAACAAAACAAAAAAAACACCTTATAATAAGGCTAAACTATCAGACTCTAGTCATAGAGCCAGGTCTTTATATTTAGTAAACAAAACTAAACTTGTCAAATCCACTAGACTTAAGTTGCTTTTTGATGCAAATCTTGAAAACACAACCTTTAACCTTTGACAGGTTCTTCTATCTCCCAAGTTCAGAGATGATATCCACTGAAAAAAAAAAAAAATGCACTCCCTCCAAAATCTATTAATTTCACATTGCCAGACCAGAGAGACTGAGGACACTTGTCCTGTTTCCTCCTCTGCCACCTCCTTCTCCTGTTCATTTTTATTTTGAATAATAAAAAGAGGATAATTCTCAAAATACATATCCATATACAGTACATAGTTGACCACTGCATATTCTTCTTCCTCTTGGTAAATTATTCTGCCCCAAATGATTTTAACTTTCTTTTACACTAAACCAGGAAAATAAAGGGAGATGCTAAATTAAATATTTTTTCTAGAAAAAAACCAAATAGCTGCACCAATGTAATCCCAAAAGAGTACCAAGATGAGATAATTATACAAAATGTGAGGAAAATGCATATTCAAGACAAGATCTTTCTACATATGGATAGTAAAATAGAAAAATGAAACAGACCTAGAGACCAAAAGCCAAAGCTTCAAGACCTGACATTAACTGGGGGCTAGGGAATAGGGGGAGAAGCTGGCAACTTAGTGTGGTTGCCTCCAGAGCTGCAGTTGGAGGAAAGCACCTAGCATATCTTGTGCAAGCCCATTGTTTTATAGCTAAATAAACAAACTACAAACCCTGTTCTCATTCCCCTCCAATGCTTAGAAGGGAAGAGAGATTATAGCCAACCTTCTTCAAGCTAGTATCTACTCAAATTAGCTCACTGATACACAGCTGCACAAACACAGACAATGCACAGAATTCTCAGTTTACAGCTGTAAAACAATAAGAAAATATGTACTGTATTATCTTCTCTCTGAAAGTCTATTTAAAAAAAAAAAAGAAAAAAAAGAGAAAAGATGTACCAGGTACTTAAGAGGGATACAAGCCAGGTTTTGTAGGAGCAAGATGGAAGGGAAGTAAGGGCTAGAGAAATTCTCTTCCAACTTCCCTGAGGTGATGATCTGAGAAAGACAGATTTCCATGCTCTCAAATCAGTATCTGTCTGAATTACAGACACTATCTAAATATTAAGATTCTTCCTATGTGAGAACCCGCACACAAAGTGAACACACCATTAAGCAGCAAACTGTGTGTTAACGATGAGGGGCCCTTCTGTTCCTAAGCCTTTATATATTTAGCTTCAATAGGAAGAAATGAAGCAAGTCTTTCCATTTCCACTTCACCATCTTGTTTTTTTATGCTGTTTATTCACAGGTCTGAAGAAGTCAACTCAACTCTAAAAAGTATTATTTTTCAAGGTTAACACAAGACACTGGCAGGAAGCTAATAAATAATGCGATGCATATTACTGCGTTCCAAGTGTCAGAACATAAACCTCAATAAGAAACTGGAATAAAAACTGAAAAGAATGCAAGCTTTTAACTTTTTTTCTCATTGTCTCCTCTCATTTACCATAAAGTACAACTAACAAAAGCAACAAGAATAAAACACCAGAGATAGTCAATAAGCAAGTGTCAGATCTTATCTTTTACTATGGGAAAATCTTAATGTAGGCAAGGGAGGAAGAAAAACATTTTACTCTCTTAAGAAATTATAATCAATCAACAATAACAACTGACTTGTCTATTAGCAGGTCTTTTGTTTGCCTTGTCTGAGTGCTAAGGTGTGGTGAGACACAATTTGCCTAAAAGGAAATTCAAAGCTTAAAAAAATCTGGCTTGAAACTAAAATTTAAGTAACATCTTAAAATTCCAAGTAAAATGTGTTAATAAATAACAAGACTTTCTGTTAGGGAAAAATCCCACAGAGGTTAAGTGATTTTTATATATTCCTTGTCTTTTAGTCACAGAACCAAAATGTTTCCATGTGATTCTAGTTCTAATTCTTTACAATGGCATGGCTAGTGGGTGGGTATAAAAATTTAGAATTTTGTTATTCTTTTAAAAGAAACTTAAAATTGGAAGGGACTGGAAAGATTATCTAACTCCAACCACCTCATTTCACAAATAGTGTAGGTTATACTTTTAGAAGAACCAGTTCTTGAATAAGGAATATCTGAGAGCAAAAAATAATCTTAATATACCATTTGCTGATTTTGTCCCTGAAGCAGGCCTAGCTAGGTACAGAAGGAAGGACTGGATTGGGCCAGTTCTGAGATGGAAGAGTTCGGAGAAGTAGACTCAGGATCAGGACTAGATCCAGGTTTTGTGGGGATGAAAGTTATCTAATGTTGAGTTTCTCTTTATGAAAAATAATACAAAGTCATAAATAAAATGAGATCTAAAACTTCATATTTACTAGGCCAAGAAATTAGATCACAAGAAATTAATAGTGCTTTAGAGATAGATATACTTTTGTTCTGAGATGCTTTCAGGTGGTTCAGCAGAAATAAATACACAGAAATGCTTTCTGATTGCACCCTGGCTTCCTCTCTCCGTCTGGAATAACTGACAACTCCCCAAACTCCCAACATTCATAGCAGCCAGTGCCCATGAAGGCCCTGAATCTTAAGCTTCATTAGCTTCACTGTAAATTCACCTTTGGATAGGATTCCCCATTAGATGCTCATTAAGCCTTTTCAATGAAACTATCCATTTTAGCAGTCCTAGGCTATGAATTAGGAGATATGGACCTGAGCCCACGCTTTGCTGCCAATACTCTGTGACACTAAGAAAGTCAATATACTCTACGGCCATACCACCCTGAACGCACCCGTTCTCGTCTGATCTCGGAAGCTAAGCAGGGTTGGGCCTGGTTAGTTCTTGGATGGGAGAGAGTCAACATCCTTCTTTGGGTTTCAGTTTCCTCCATGGCTGCACTACATGTTTGCCAGGGTCTCTTCCGATTACAATACCATTCAATGCGGAATACCTTGGCCTACTCTATTTCTAGTATTGCCAGTCTTAGTAAGTACTATTGTCATTGTTCAAACTAAGAATTCTGAGTCTTCCTTGACTCTATTATCCCCTTCTTCCCTCCAAATGTAACCAATCTCTCTTTTATTTTTGGAGACAGAGTTTCACTCTTGTCTCCCAGGCTGGAGTGCAATGGCGTGATCCCTGCCCACTGCAACCTCTGCCTTCTGGGTTCAAGTGATTCTCCTGCCTCAGCCTCCTGAGTAGCTGGGATTACAGATGTGTGCCACCACACCCGGTTTATTTTTTAAATTTTAGTAGAGATGACAGGGTTTCGCCTTGTTGGCCAGGCTGGTCTTGGAATCCTGATCTCAGGTGATCTGCCTGCCTTGGCCTCCCAAAGTGCTGGGATGACAAGCATGAGCCACCACACCCGACCAATCTCTAAGTTTTATATACCTCTACCATCTAACCTCACCTCAACTGACCTAGGCTACATCAACCAGAAGACCACAATACTTCCAACAACTTTTCTTTTTTTCTTTTTTTTTTTTTTGTTTTTTTGAGACTGAGTTTCACTCTTATTGCCCAGGCTGGAGTGCAATGGCGTGATCCCAGCTCACTGTAGCCTCCACCTCCCGGGTTCAAGCAATTCTCCTGCCTCAGCCTCCTGAGTAGCTGGGACTACAGGTGCCCGCCACCATGCCTGGCTAATTTTTTGCATTTTTTTTTTTTTTTTGAAATGGAGTCTTGCTCTGTCGCCCAGGCTGGAGTGCAGTGGCACGATCTCAGCTCACTGCAAGCTCTGCCTCCCAAGTTCATGCTGTTCTGACTCAGCATCCCGAGTAACTGGGACTACAGTCGCCTGCCACCACACCTGGCTATTTTTTTGTATTTTTAGTTGAGACGGGGTTTCACCGTGTTAGCCAGGATGGTCTCAATCTCCTGACCTCGTGATCCACCCACATCAGCCTCCCAAAGTGCTGGGATTACAGGCGCAAGCCATGGCGCCCGGCCAGATATAGGGTCTTGCTATGTTGCCCAGGTTGGACTCTGACTCCTGGCCTGAAGTGATCCTCATGCCTCAGCCCCACAAAGTGCTAAGATTACAGGTGTGAGCCACCATGCCAAGACCAGAGAGTCTTGGTTTAGCCACCAGATCTATTAGAATGCTGTTTGCAGCAAAAACCAGAATGCTAATAGTGACTCAAGCAATAAGTGGTTCAATATGTCATATAGCAGGAAGTCCAGAGTTTACACACTTCCAGGACTAATTTAGCCCAACAATGTCATCAAGGACCCAAGCAATGTCCATGTGTCCTCTCTGACAGTGTCAGCACTCAGTGCTACTTACCCTCATGTTTGCAAAGCGATCATAACACTTCTTTTCATCACCTGAAGATGTGGTTATATTCAGCAGAGTAAAGAAGGGCCTCTGGTGTATACATGGGTTTTTGTTGTTTTTGTTTTGTTTTTTCTACCTAGGGAAGAAACTCTTTCTCAAAAGCCCTGCCAGTAAACTCCCTTTACCCTCACCAACCAGGATTCTGCCACATGCCCACCTGTGGTTGCAAAAGAGATGGAGAAAACAAGGAACTGGTATTTCCACTTGACATTTACTATGATCAGACGTGGGTTCTGCCAGCAAAGAAAGAGTGGGGAACGGTCACTGAGTAGCAAATACTAGGGTGTACCACTGTGTGATTTTCAGAAAGTCACCTGAATCCTGAACTAACTTCTAGCATTTATTTGATGTCTACTCTGTGTGCCAGATATCATAATTAAGAAATGTCAATTATCTCATTGTTTTCTGATGATGAAATTGAGCCAGAGAGAAGCTAAGTAAGTTAAATTACTGAGCTAGTAATTTGAAGTCTAACTCACATCACATATGGAATCCTAATCACTGTGCTAAACTTTCCTCTCTGGTATCCTGTCTAACATGGGTATGATGATGACTAGAGGCAAGGCAGAACCAGTGAAATGCCCTCACTTTCCGTTCATTTCAAAAACATTTATTGAAGCCCTGTTACCTGTCAGACATGGTACTAGGTCACAAACCCTTCTCTCACTCTGCCTTCTTCTAGATATTGCTGGAATATATTTTCCTGATCACAGACATGCTTGAGTTTTTACTCTTTACTGACCTCAAGTCAATGGCATTTTGGGGTCATTTTAAAATTTAATTATTACATTTTTAAAGTTTTGAACCCTGGTAAAATCCTCTTTAGGAATTGATCCTTCCATTTAAATTACTGGAGAACTTGGCTGCTGCCAGATCAGGGGTTCCTGACAGCGAATGCCAACGCAGCTAACTGCAGATTTCCACAGATGGTTTTACAGTATCATCATTTAGATTTAAGTGAATGCATAATTACACTCTTTTTGAGTTAACAAAGGGGAAAGAAATCAATAATGGCTAAGCTGGATCATGGTGCTCCAGAGGAGAGCTGAAAGGCTGATGGAGATACATGTGCACGCACACACCACACACACTCACACACATGAACATTTGAAGTCATCAGACAGAAGTAATCTGGTATAGACAAACATACTTGAGGAAATGAAAAAACAGTAAGAACAGTGGACTAATTTGGGGTACAAGAAAGCATCCAGAAAGCAGTTAGTATATTTTTGCCTCTGAAAAGTATTTAATCCCTAAATGCCCTTTATATTTTGTAGCAGCCCACACAAAATTTAATGTCATGTTTGTTTATGTAAAATCCTCTGCATGGCACTGAAATTGAGTGAGTGAAACAGCCACTGCATCCCCCCTGGGGAAATTAAAAGGCAAGCCAACCAACAGTGATGCAGACAGAGTTAGGGACATACAGATAACCGAATCGACATTAGACACAGCAAATTGTAGCACACGGAGAGCCGTCCTGAAGAGCAAAAAACTTTTTGGTAAATTTGGTATATCCTCCTGACTCAGTTTCCCCACAGAGCCAGAGGTCATTTGTAGCTAAGACATAAAATCTGCACCTGAGTTGCAGGAGTCTTCCTGTCCCAGGAGCTGCCATGTGAGAAACACTGCAGCTGTAACTCAAGGGAACTCACGTGTTTTCTCCCTTTGCTGAAACCTAAGTTCCTTCCTGTTAGTAACAAGCAAAAAACAAACAAACAAAAAAAAAAAAAAAACAAAAAAAACACCTTATAATAAGGCTAAACTATCAGACTCTAGTCATAGAGCCAGGTCTTTATATTTAGTAAACAAAAC